GGTGCCGGCGAAGCCACCCACCTGCGCTTTCGCTGATCCGAACGTGAGTCGATAACATCACTCTCAGCAGCGCTCAAGCTTGCTGGCTCAATGTAGGCTGGCTCCTGTAGGTTTAACAGTTGGACATTCTGACGATTGCGCAGCCAATGGTCCGTCTGGAGTTCTTCCAGGTTTTGGGCCGACAAGTCGAAAGTTGCGACAACTGCCCGTCCACAGAAAGAATAGGAATAGGAGAAAACATTCGTGGCGGATCTCGCCCCTTTCACGATCTTTGGGCGGCCTTGCAAGGCTTCCCTGTTCCTTTTCAGGAACATGGCATCTCCGACGCCATCAAGAAGAACCCCGGCATGCACACGGCGGTCAAAATCTGCAAGGTCCATGTTCTCAGAATCCTCTACTGTCACCTCGAGGAAGTCCGCCAAGCCCAACTTGTTCGCCACCCGCTTCAAAGTGTGGGCAGCCAGCATGGATTTTCCCAAGCGCGTGCCGCCCACGATCGNNNATTGGACGGCGGAAGCGAGGCTGTCCGTCGTGGCAAGCCACAAACTCCTGGCGGGTGCGTTACATCAATAGACACGCTTTCGGCGCAAGCCTAGCGCGGTGGTGGGTTTCGAATTTATAATTAGCAATCTAGCAAGCTCAAACCTCGACTGGTCCAAAAGTCTTCATGGGCAACATCGCGGACTCGAGCGCCTTGGACGCTGCCTGCACAGCGTCTCGAACAGCCTGGTCGTGAAGATAACGCTCTGCAGCTTTGCAGTCTCCCAATCGCTTTTGAAAGCCGGCTGTCACCTGCGCAGCCACCCGAAGATACGTCTGCCGCGTCAATTTCCCAGCCTTCAGAAGGTTGTCCAACCACCATCCCTCCACCCCATAGGCTTTGAAAGGTGGGAAATCTGTAGAGTCGTAGAGTTGAACCTGCACTGCGACTAGACCCGGAATAGCTGCACCAACAAAACACAGGTTTCGAATCCTATCTACACAAACTCCCGGGTAACGGACACATCATGTCCTTGGTTTTTGACTGCGAGACCGACGTTTTACTGAGTCCATTTAGGCCCCAACATTTCGAAGCCCCCCGAGGGCCATCCGAGGCCGTCCTTTTG